AAGTGAATGGCGATCAGAGAAGTTTCCTCACTTGCGTGAACTTATACACATGACTCCGTCCTCCGATATGATGACGATACATATCTTTATATTTAATGTTTTGAGTTTTCGTTATAAAATAGATAAATTTTAGTTATTATATCTGTCAACGATTTTCATTTATTTTTGTTTATACATTGTTTTTTATTTTAGGTGACGATACATATATTTTTATATTTAATATTTGATTTGGAAATGAATTGGTAATATTTGTTGGTTATCATGCCCTCATATTGAAACAAAATTTGAATTTTCATACTGTACTTCATACTTTACACTTTATTACGTAATATTATTATATAAAATTACTTTTACATTTGTATATACATATAATATTACTAATACATGTATACAGTATTACTTATTTGCTTAACAAATTTAAAAGAGAAAATATCCATATGCGTGAATAGAGGAATTTTTGCGAAAAATATGAGTTTCAGCGAATTGCCTAATCATCACATACCAGCGCTCCATTCCGTCGTAATGTTTGGTAAACAAAAGAGGTTCAAACGAGTGTAAAATGTAGTTTTTGAAATAAAGATTTTTTAGGTAAAAAACCTGCTAAAAGTGTAAAATGTGGAGTTATTTAAAAGTTTATAGTGTAATTTAATTAATTTGAAATCAAAAATGTGTATAAAGTGTTTTTAATGTGGTGAAATAGCTTCTTGAAATGATTGAATTTTGTAAAGTTTTGAACTTTAAGCTCGAATATCTCGTAAACTAAGCGTTTGCGGTACCTATAACCCTATAATATAATCAGGAGGACTTCCTCTTTCCAACGTTACCTTCAAATCGCGGCGCCAAAGAAATCGGAATTGTGCCCGCAAAGTACACCATCGTGTTGTGGAATCTGAAAATAGGAATCAGAATTGAAACAGATCAAAACAAGAAGAAACGATAAGCCGAAGCTAAATACCTTTCACAGGTGCATTTCTGTTGGTCACTACGTGTTCAGTTTGTATGGAAGCTATGTACAGTCAAACCTGGATAAGTGAGAACTGGATTAGTGAGAAAACTCTATAAGTCAGAGTAATAGCTAGGACCCGTCATTTTAAGTTTCCAAAACCTCTATTATTGAGAAACAAAAACCTCTGTAAGAGAGAGTCATTTTTGCCTCATAGACCTCCGTAAGTGAGACTGTTACTTATCTGGTCTCTATAAGGGAGAGACGAACTTTATTTACAAGTTTAACATCTACAATTTTATAACTCATTCTTAACTTTGAAACTTCCGACCATTGTTTTTTCATTTTTAGTTCCACGAAATAGAATAGGCACAATATTCTATTTCGTGGAATGTTGTTACTCTATGGCATTCTTTTCGTATGGACACGTATGCCTGTTTACCGTCCTGTTTGTCGGACTTACTCAGTTTATAGTTGTCAATTGCGAAGCAAAGTTTTGTTCTGCATCATGTCAAATGTTGTGGATATCATGCATATAATTTTATCATTTTACATATATACATATTTACTACATTCATACTTTCTGTGACTTGTTATTGCTGCGTACCTCTATAAGAGGGAAACACTACGCATGTACGTGCATTAGCGAGAAACTCGGGTTACTGAGTACCTCTTTAAGCGAGAATAAGATTGTGCTCCCTTGAACTTTCGCTTATACAGGTTTGACTGTATATGCTATAGTAATCCGTTCTGAACAATTTTTTTTGGAGATTATATTGTTACCTTAAGCAGTAATCCATGTCAAATTTCGTGACGATACGACGTCAAATGCGAAACTTTTCCATACAAGCCCTTGATTCCGATCATTCGGCTTGTATGGCAGCTATATGATATAGCGAGCCGATCTGAAAAATTTCTTCTGATATTACTTTATCTATTTCTATAAAAAATAACTTAAAAACTGAGGGACTAGTTCGTATATATATACAGCCAGACACACTGATCATTTTTATATATACTTTATAGGGTCTCCGACCCTTCCTTCTGGGTGTTACAAACTTTGTGACAAACTTAGTATACCCTGTTCAGGGTATAAAAAGCAGTAGGTGTCATGAATTGAGACATTATTGGTTTGATATTCGAAACAGAATTTGTATCGGTGTTGGGTGTCACGGAAACCAATTATATCGGGTTTGCTGTCAGAAACAAAGCAAGAAGACAGACGCACACACATTTGAAATGTATGTAAGTTATTTTATTGTTACGAATTAACTTATCTTTATTTCTATAGGAGAAAACATAAGAGATTCATATTTGTTAATAACTTATGTTCAAGTTAAACTAGGAAAATTAAAAAAAAAATATTTTCTTCTAAAAAATTTAAAAATTTGAAAAATTGTGGTTTTTGACCAAAAAATTTTACTTTATGTTGTTTAAACATATGTTCAAACTTAGTTAGTTTTTTTTTTGTTTAAATAGAAGATACGTATAGTTTTTTCCTATTTTCTATAATAACTACACCTGTCCGCCAATTAAGAAAAATCATTTGCAAGTTTTGTCACATTGGCAAACAGCTGATTTGAATATTGGTTTTGGGTATGTTCGAAAAGACGAAAATCCAATCAGATTTTTTGACACCATTGAAAATCAGAATTGGTTTGCAATTCTGACAGCTAAGCACTTCTGTCTTGGTTCCCACAACACCCCTAACAAGTTCAAAAATTCCTAAAAATCCAAACATTTCAACAAGCTATTTCACAACATTTAACACACTAAGCACATTTTTCACTTCAAATTAATTTAATTAAACTGTAAACATTTAAACAAATTCAAAATTTACACTTTTGCAGTCATTATAGTAAGTTCACCTCGGAATTCGAGATACCCAGTTCCGAGATTCTTACGTAATTTAAGCTTAAATGACTGGACTAAGAAAGGAGTGCTACGCGGAACTACTTGAAACACCCTGGGTATTGGGTCGACTAGGGTTATTTTTTTAAAGCGTGGCCGAAAGCCGCCCACACAGAAAGAAGTGCTACCCGAAAGTAGTTCAGTCACCCTGGGTATTGGGTCGACCAGGGTTATTTTTTTAAAGCGCGTCTGAAGGCCGCCAACACAGAAGGGAGTACTACGCGTTTTATTATTACAATAATACCATATTATTATTTTCTCATTTTCTTTTACTTTTTGCCTCGAATTAGTTAAATGATAATAATATTGTGCTTATTATTTTATCTATTTGTTGAGTTGAATATCTCCATCTTCACGTTTGATGGCAATACTAAGACTAATAGCAGAATCAACGAATTCCGCTCCTACCTTCCTCGGTTGCCGCCCGTAGCGAGCAAAATGCGTCAAAAGTTGAGCCCGTATAAATCAGTCATTTTTTTTGTTTTCATTTGAACAATGTTGCCACTGCCACCATACGCACACATAGTTTTGAACACATCTAAATTTTCAATTACAATTTTCGATAATCTAAAATATTAAAAAAGAAAACAAACTTTTAAAAATGGTTTATATATTTATAAATAATAGCATTCGACTCTGATTTTGAGTTAGTTTAAGAAAATTTCAAACATATTGAAGACAATTTTTATAATAACTACACTGCATCGGAACTGGCAACCCTGCGTTGTGAGAAAGCAATCAGCTGACATGTGTCTACGGGAAAAATCCAAAACCTGGAAGATTCTACGGCTTGTATGGCAGCTATATGCTATAGTGAGCCGATCTGAAAAATTTCTTCTGATATTACTTTATCTATTTCTATAAAAAGTAACTTAAAAACTGAGGAGTATAAAAAGCAGTAGGTGTCATGAATTGAGACATTATTGGTTTGATATTCGAAACAGAATTTGTATCGGTGTTGGGTGTCACGGAAACCAATTANAGACATTATTGGTTTGATATTCGAAACAGAATTTGTATCGGTGTTGGGTGTCACGGAAACCAATTATATCGGGTTTGCTGTCAGAAACAAAGCAAAAAGACAAACGCACACACATTTGAAATGTATGTAAGTTATTTTATTGTTACGAATTAACTTGTGTTTTCGTCCATGTAAAATCTGTCAAACGAAAACACAGTTTTCGCTGAAAACTTATATTCCACTTATTATAATCGGTGCCTGCTCTAGTTTAATCGATGTTTTTGGAAGACATGTTTTGCCGACCCTAAATTGTCACTTGATATTTGTTTACAATCCACATACAAATACGGCTGTCGCTTGATATTCTCATATGAGGGCGATTCTCTTGCTCTTGCAAAACCTTGCACCGTGCAGAAATTGCAGAATTTTCCCTTTGGTGCAACGGCACAACAACAAACACACGCAGAAAATTGATTGCAATGGCTGT